ATTTGTTATGAGGAACAGAGGGGGGTTGGAGGGACATGGCGCAAGCTTGCTGGGATGCGAAAATTGAAAAATTATTTGTATACTAAAATGTATTGGATTATTTTCTGCGTTCTTACATATCTTCAGAAAAGCAATTCCAAGACAAGAAATAATGAAAATTATACCTTTGAGTAATAAATACCGTTTGTTCCCATTAGAAACAATTCTGTACGCTTAGACTTCACTTCGGTACTTGGGAATGTTGCTCAAACGATGTTTTCATATTGAATATCGAATATGCGAGCCGGACACATTAAGATTAATATCAAATGGTGTATTACTTACAAGTACAATCTATGAGTTTACAACTGGGTATTGAGGTACAGTCATCCAGATACCGCTAACATTTAAATAGTGCGTCTGGATTGTGATCGTTGGCATTTGTCGAATGACTTACACTATTCTTTCTATAATTTTAATTTGGAAATTAATTCACGTAGTATTGTAGGCTAGCTCATTTTCATTTTTGTTGTTCATTATTACAAGCTATTTTACTTTAGCTAAATTAAAAACTTTGTTCTTTGGGTTGTGCCATAGCACAAATTTTCCCCTACCACCTCCGCGTACCTTGCGAGAACTGTCGCATGTTAAATCACAACTGTCATCCCTACTCGTCTTTTGCCATTCTAAGGCGGAAGGTTGATAACGAAACGTATTTATTTGATTAAAAATGTATAAATGTAACTTCCATTGTACTAAAACAAAATCAAATTTTAAAAAATGCAATTTATATGAAAAAGAATTTTTTACTTAAGATTTATTCAGTATAATCGAGAGATTTTTTGGAAAAACTCAAAACACTTTCTTAAAAAAATTTGAAGTAATTATTCAATATTATTTGAAAGTTAGCTTTTCACTTTTCGTGATAGTCACAAAAATATTATACTCTTGAGATAGCTGGGTGACCCTCCACATTTACGTACAAAGCACTTGTAGACCTCGACAAAACGTTAAATGAATGTTTTTACTACACGCATAAGAAACAATCTTCATCGGTATCAAGCATTAATTAATAGTACTTCTAGTTGTTGCTGCGAAAGCGAATCTTGAATTAATAATCATGTAAATAATGTCGTCAGCGCAAACCACGGTGTACACGGAAAGCATAAATAGTATGAGAAAGAGGAAGTCTTATGCGTGATGTCACAACGATGTCCACCATCACCAAGAGTTGAAATCCAGATGGCATTGGTAGTTACGACAAGTGGCGAGCCAGCAAAAATTTAATGGGAAGTCCAAGAATATCGTATCCTATAGATTACGGTGTGGGAAACTTTTCTTTTAAAAAAATGCCGCGGGTAGCATTTGACATGAATATGTGGATTTGTTTTTAAAACAAATCCGTCACATTTTGAAATTCAAAGTGAATTCGTCACGACTTCTTGAAACTATTTTTCTTTAGAGAGCTCATTTATAAAGATTGGTTGCCTGTGTGAGCTGTAACAAGTATGTATAGTGCTGAAATAATATTAGATATCATTTTCAACTTAGCTTTCTAGTAATCACGCGGGCGGGATAAATGCCGCCTTTGAAAATAAAACGTTGTGCGCGTCGGTGGTTGACCTCAGCATCGCGGGAAGCCAGGTATTCCCTAGTTATCTGTTGAGCCATAAGATTGCGGTAACGTATTCTCCAAGACCCCTCACATTTGCGCCAAATTCACGCAAAGTGAAATAACGTCATCAGTCTTTGCTCTACGCGACATAAATATCGCCACGCGATCGCACCTGCTCCTTTTTTTTCTCGACCGTGATGAATTAGTAAGAATGTTTTTCATACGTTTTTGTAATAAAAATGTTTAATTAATTTGCAGGTGATTTCAGTGGATTTTAGTAATATAGATTCATGATACTTACTATTCCCGTTTTATTATTACATATTTATCTGTCTATACATTCTCTCTCGCTCTCTTTACTATTTTCATCTTATTCGATTTTTACCTACCCACTTCATTAGATTTTCATTTAGATTTGTTTTATGCCATTATTATAATGTAAGCATTTTCATCTGTGTTTTGTGAAGCCAAAGTAGAAGACTTTGGATAGAAGAATAATTTATTTTCTGGTGAATAATTAAAATTCTTTCAATAACTTTTAATCTACTACAATGCCCAGTTGATACTAATCAATAAGTTCCCCACGACTGTCCATCAAGAGGAGTCCTAGCACTGGGAGGGGGGAGTGTTGAGCAAAGGGCTTACCGCCGCAACGAAAGCGAAGACTGCACTGAACATCGCGAGGGAGAAATGCCGGTGTACTGTTTTCTTGATTCCTTTCTGGCAGTTCACTCTGATGGTGGCTGTTCTGTTGTAGCAGTCGCAGTACACATTCGGTGTTTTGCAGCACGTGTAGGGGCAGGGTACGTCCCCCATGTAGTCCTTTGGTCCGCGATATCCACAACACCCGAGCTGGAACGCAGTTGGATTTGATATTTAGTGTAATGCACTTCGGCAATGAGGGCTACAAAATTACACATCTCGTATTACTTTTCGAACTTCTTTGCTATTGGCTAGCTTTTCGGCATTGCCCCATCCCCTTTTCAGCTGCTATTCAAAGCCGGTCAAAGTAATATTTTTCTTCTCTTTTTTCCTAATTGTAGAATTGGAATATTACTTTAATAACACTATAGGAGAGTAAAATCTCATCATGTACGGAAATTTTCGTTCAAACATTTTAAGCAGTTTTTAAGATAATGACGTTTGCGAAAATGCGAAAGAAGCTCTTTAAAGCTCTTTTTGACAGGAATATTTTGTGTTTTCGAAAAGTTTCAATGAAAACCATTGGAAGGACTTCCATTTACAAATTCAACAATATATACAAATTGGTAGAAACGGTGTGAGAGATACTTCGAAAAAAATACCTTTGGGTAATTTTTGTAGGCAAAAATACAGTAAAACCGCTTTTTCGTCATCATATACCGTGCATTTACAAACCGTACAAATACATCATATACCGTACAAATACAAACATTTTAAAGAAAAAAAATAACCTTTTTTTTTAAATGGCGCTTGAACATTTCTGAAAATGCGGAATTTTGAGCTTATTTTTGCAGAAAATGTTGAGTTTTCCAGAAACTTTATATGATATCATTTAAAGCACATGTACTCATAATTGCAACAGTATGAACAAACCGAATCTAATATACATATTCATGACGTGAGAGACATGTCAAACAAATTACATTTTTTGAAAATTATGAAAAAAAAACAAAAGGATACAGCAATATTGCGTTGTTTTTTTTAAATCGCGATAAAATACCGTGATATTGTAGATCGTAAATTTCAGCGGGTTGACGTACGTAGGAAAATATGTGTCAAGTCTTCGAGTCAAACAACAATCCCCGAAAACAAAAACAATTTCCCAGTGATTTCTCGCGATTAAAAAATCTGGAGAGTTGTGACCCAATTCTGGCTTCAGATTCAGATTCAGCGCGTCAACATACATAGAGAAAATGTGTCAAGACTGGGTCTGACAACTATTTACGATCTCGCCCTAAAGAAGGTATTTCTTAAGAAGCGAAAGCTATGTAATACTGCGGGGGAAAAACGGCGAAGTTTCGGTAGAAAAACTCTGATTGGCGGGCCCTGGTAACAACAAAGTGGATAAATCTAGTTGCTAAATTTAGAGAAAAAAAACCTCTAACACGTGATGTAGCCCGAATACAGGTTTTGGGAGTCTTTGATATCTAAAAATAGATTGACAGCAAAACGTCTGTCTGTCCCTCAGTTAGCAATGTTAGTGGCTAAACCGTTCAGCCGATTTTTAAAAAAATTGATATTTCCTAATTGATCCTGCTGATGTCAATTGAATTTGAACCCGATATTTTAAATTTGAAGTGTACTTTAGATGAAGCCCCTGAGACATTTTCAAAAATTTCAAAAACATGGATCCATCGTTTTTTATTAAAATGTGTTGTGCGATAGTGTGAAAGAATGGGAGAATGGGACAGATCTAATTAATGTTAAAAACTCTGTTTTTTTGCATATTGCAAAAATTCAATTTTTTCGGCGTCTTCCTACAACTACAATTTTGAAATTTTTTTTCTTAGTGAAATGTGTTCATCGACATAGTTCAAGAGGTCACGTTCAATACTTCGAAAGTATGAGTACTTTTTATGCAATTGGCGATGAAACAGGGGCTTTTAAAACCTTTGTTTGTATTTTCTCTGAAACGGCCTGAAATTTTGTCTTTCATACTTATCTTCATATGTGGAAAAAACTGTAAAAATAGTGTTATTGGTTTTATTTTCGGTGCTCTCGGAATTGTCGAAAGTTGCAAAAAAAAAGTTCGAAATTCTAAATTCGACCTTTCGGTGCTTCGTTTCAGGTGTAGCCGGTTCGAAAAATAGCAACACAGGTTTCAAAATTCTTGGAATTCATCCCATTGCTGTCGGTCATGATGATAGTATGATGTAGATAATATTTTTATGAAAGGAAATAGATTGAAGGAAGGTAATAAATTTTAACTTAAGACTAACAAACACATTTCTATATTTTAAGAAGTTTTAATCGCTGACAATGGTATTAAAAAATTGAAACCTCCTATCAAATGTAATCAAAGTAAGCTTGTGTGAAATTATTCTTGCTTTTCTGTATTATATTTTGTAAACATTGTAACATGTAAATTAGTAAGAAATGACTATTGTTCCTGACAATGGAAATAAATGCAGATTTGCCGTTTTAAGAACGCCGTTTATAATTTTTGTTTGTTTTATTTTTAAAGTAATTTGCCGAAATAAATGCCGTTTTAAGAACGAGGTATTGCAACAACAAAAGTGTCAACAATTGTCGTATACAAAAATATTGAAATGTGTAATTTCTAAACACTACTAGTAGAGCTTAGCCAAAACAACTTTATACGGGTATACTTCGTATGCCGACATCATTAAATTGTTTGGCTCATAAAATTGTATCCGTGAATTATAAAAAAAGGAAATTAAATTAAGAGTAATAGTCTAATTACCGTCTCCTGAATAACTGCTATTTTGTAAGCATATTTATCGGAATGCTGATAATCGTCAACCATTTCCTTGAACTTTGTTAAAGCATCTGGACCACTATTGAACTTGTACCAAATACTCACTCCCGCGAGAACTAACAGAAGGAGGAGAACACACACCAACAAAGCCTGGAACTGAAGAAAAAGAAAAATTAAGTATTGTGGAATTAGTAAGATTCAACAATATAATAAAAAACAAATTATTAATCAATTTTATTAATCAAACGTTTTTCGATTTTAGCTTGAATTATGTGCAGCATGGGGTGACTTCTAATAATGACTTCTTGATAAAACCCAGACATTTAGAATAATTTTTGATAGTAACATTCTCACAAAAATCTCGCTCCCAGAATGGCAACTTTCTGGATCTTGGTGATTCGGAGTTAAGGAAAACAAGACACTACAGTGGGAAGAAATGACAGCTGACGAAATGAAATGACAGAAAGGTGTTTTAAAGGGTGCTATTCGTAGTTGTATTTTGCTACCAAAGTATTATGTCATTTCCAAGCTTGTTGGAGCCCTGTTGTGAGCGGACTGAGGAGGCAGCGGACTGTCGATATAGCTCGGATGAGCTAGCAGCCAGCGCCTTCCAACTTACATCGGCAGCTTTCTTATCAACTCGGAGGACCACCGCGTATAATGCGGCACGGAAGCGTTCCCTGTAAATGTTACTATCTAAGAGGCATCACTATTACTTTGGGAGCGTTCACGAGGCATGTACTCATTGATTAGAAAAACATGTAATTAAAACCAAGTAAAACACACTTGATTACAATTATGCTTACGTCTAAGTTGAAAGCATTTAAATCATTACAATAGCTGTAAGCATGTACAGATCAAGACTGATTATATTGGTAATAATTAACATCGAAAGATTGCCATGCCCGGAAGCATTTACAGTTGAAGACTGTGTTGGTAGCAGTGAGCACTTAACTTCAGTTCACAAATTCAACAGAGAATAATACATTAGTGCTGAAATGAAAACATGGTACATTGAATACAGACAGAATCATAATGATTGAGCGAAGTCTTGAAGGTTGCGCATGTACGCAGACGCGAGTTGTGAACGGCCTGCTGAGGAGAGGAGCGATGGTTGGCACGTACTGGTGCCAACTTGAAGCCTCGGAATGCCGTGAATTATGACTAGCAAGTGCAGGAGATTACTCGAATGCCGCAGAAGCGGACTCCGTTGCACAACAGGCATGTGGTTGTTACTGCTTATGACATGATCACGGGTAGCACGTATTTAGAGAACAATTAAGGAGGCTAGGAGCATGCACTTGCATGAGCTTTCAGCATGATGTGCGTTACAATGCACTGTGGCACAAAGAATTTATCGTGACCACATTACCCGCATAGCTGCGAAAGAGTAGAAGAACGCACGATTGCACGCCTGGCAGCGACGTCGCCACGTGGCTGCTTTTGCTGGATGATGCTATCCCTTACGTGGTTATGATTGGCCCAAACTTAGCGTGACGCGTATTACAGTACATTGTTATACAGAAAATTCAGTGTTGCTACATAATAACTGGCTTATAGTGAACGTGGTAAACAAACGCACAATGTTTGCTTGAGAGCGACACGGAGCACGGTCTACGGCCTGGGAGCAACTGTCGTTCAGCGTCCAGCGCGGACGGTGTTACGGATCGGAGAAGGTTTCCTCAGAAATAACTTACTTTGATTCGTATACAAATATTTAATAGATACTGAAAAACAGTTACAAGTTACAAGCGAGAATGACCTCGGCCACCTCGTGACGAGCAACCGCACGGCTGCGAGACATATACTGATCTGACTTGTTTAGACATGGGCGCAGAGCTTAAATACCAGTGCGTACGTGACTTACTCCGCGTGTGCTGGCATGAGGCGTCATTAAAATCAAAAGCTAGGGCTTGTAGGTCGGGGGGTAGTTTAGTCATGGTCCCTCGCGGGGTGGCTCCGTCACCGTGTCCTACGTGACCTCTGTCTATACCAGTACTTTCGTCAGGGTGCTTCAAGGGGTCGGCGGTCATGGAACCCCCTTCCATGACTTCGACACTGTGGCCTACGTGACCTCTGCCGCGTGTAACAACGGGCAGAACGGCCGTCGGTCGACGAGGAACCTTCCCACGCCCTCGCGGCTAGTGAGCAGGGGGTGTTCGCGCTGTCTCGACAGAGGTGACGGCGCCCGGTGGCCGACGAGAGAGTTAAATAAAATGTAGAACATATGAATGGTACCTTAACTCGAGCTGACGGTGCAAAGCTCGGACGCTGATTATACAACGAGTTCTAACAAGCTCCACCACAAAGAACAAGACTATCGGCTCTTGAGTAGGGTTAGTGTACCTCCTCTTTTATCCTGAGGTGCATTCTTTTTGAATTATGAAAAACTATCCGGGTGGATTTTACACGATAGGTCGAAATGTCCTCTTTTTTATTGAAAAAGAATTACTACTTATAAATGCAACCAAAAAGTATGATAAATGAAGGATACTGCACTTTGTTCAACTTTTTCAAGTCCTCGACATTATGAAATTTCATTGTTTCATAAATAATAGTTATTTACTATGTAAGTATCGTATATTCCATTGGTTAACAAACTCGGACTAACGGCCTCGTTTGGCAACTTTTCCAATTTCGTATTGTCATCAGATACTTTACGACACGAATATCGTACAATGTTTTATCCACTTTGTAAAAATTTGTTAGATTTAATGTGAAATTTCGTTCTACGCCTTCAAATAGTATTCACATTTTTTCTCCCATAAGTGGCCACACGGATAAGAATTGACACACCCTTGATGTATACTTTTCGATATAAAGAATATAGTTCTGTTTTGGAAATAAAAATAGCGGCAACTGCTACTTTAGAAACATTGTTACCCAACAAATCAAGAAAGAAATATGAGCTTGAGTATTTAATTTTTAAAGATTGGGGGAAAATGTTCATTCCATGTCGGAAAACGTTTTGATTGCTTACTTTTCTGGCAAGTCAGAGAAGGAGAAATCAAGAAGTCTTTGGTACAACTACTCTACGTTAAAGAGTACAATACCCCTTAAGGACAACATTGATATCAACGTAAACGCAAGCTTCCGCGGCTCGAGTCCATGTCTTTTGGCTGTGCGGGTGACGCTCTCCGCGTCGTTGGCTGGGAGGCCGACGTTTCGCCTGTCATGTCGCAGGCTTCTTCAGGGCAGTGACACCGTGGTGCTGCGTGCCCAATATTACACACCGGACAATCAAGAAAACATTGATATCATTAAGTTTACTCAGTTATTAGCGTTTTTAAAGGGGAAAAGTGTAGGATACAAGACAAAGAAGTCCAAAATAATTTCAAAAGAAGAGTGGTAAATTACGCTATTACTTTACCGCCCTAGTATGCTAATGAAGTATATTACCACACTATGGCACTAAAATACTTCATTACGAAATTGATTATAACGTAAAATATTTGTCTGTACCTAACCAAAGTGGATAAGTGACATTTAACTTAATTGTTTTTGCCAAACAACCGTTAAAAACCAAAGATTAACTATATCTACATGTACGTCCGTTTCTCCATGAAATGCGACAGTTCTGCCAAAAGTTGGTACAACGTATAGGTGCTTGTTATAGTGGTGCTAATAGTATTGTGCTGGCATTTGGAGATAATTCTGCTCTGCGGTGTATATTTCGAGCAGAGATGCCGAAAGAGCAAAATGCCTATTCCCTAATCACATTCGTACACTACACTCGTTCAAGCACGTTTGTCATATCTTCAAACACAAATTCCTGAAGAATTATTTTACCAATCACGAGGGCAATTACCTTTTGATTCAAAGAACTGTATAAACTGCATAACTAATCACCATGCAATAACTGAGATAATACTATAATAGACTCAATGAATCAATAATCACGCTAACTAATAATAATCACACAGGAGTATAATAGACGGATGGAACTCTGGAAGGGAATGACAATTCGGTGTGGATAAGTGCACAGGGAGAGTGAATATCATTCGAGTCAGTATGCAGAGTTATAATATCGGAAAGCTGATAATGGAACCAAAGATTACCTTCTTGGAACCCCCCAAGAAACTTACAATACTCTGGTTTCACACAGTCCACTACCGCACTCACATACACCGGCGCGCCGGAACATCTGCTTACCGCACGGAAGACGATGACTAAAACAACGGAAGTGTGTCAAATTTGCGATTTGCATGGACTCTTAAACCCCCACACCTCCAAACTCTCTCTCACGACAACACCTCGGCAGCGCATCAACTTCTTTTGTGTAATGTCCACGTCTCCCGCACATACGTCCGTTTATTGGGTTATTAAATGGGGCAATACGCTCGCACTCCCAGAGGACACCAATTCAAACCGCTATGAACTCGCCACTCGAAAACATCATGCACGCATATCCAGGTATTCGAAGGCGTTTATACCACCTTACCAAGGGTCGCAAGAGGGCGAGGTTTGTTAATGTCATAAATCTACACAGCTCTCAAAATTGTTCACTCAGAAGATTGACTTCTTGGACATTGGTGGGAGAGTTCAGCAAGCAGTGAGCGCACGCTTGATAATAGCTAATCAAGCACCTCCTGACTTGAAAAAAGGCTTTGATCCAACGCGCCGACGGCTGTCAATCCAATCATTGAACAAAAGAGAAGATAACCTCATGGAAAGGAAGGCACTGCATGGAAGTACCATCGCTCACCAAGCTGAGCTAAACCCGAAGTCGCATCTCTGCGTCGGCATCGCATGGGACGCTCCAGCACGTGGGATAGTCTCTTAGTTATTCAGGAGACAGAGCCATTCATGATAGCTATCAGCGACCAAGCAGGCATGTACAGTCACATTGAACTCACCGAAAACACATCTGAGAGAGATTTCTAATTTAACATTCATTCCAGACTCGTGTAGAAGATTGAGGGGGTCCTCGCAAGCGAAACTATCCAACAGTTGACAAGTGGAATGTCAGTAGCCATGCACAGGTTTGGAATACAAAAGAAGGCATATGAAGTGGAGAAGCAGGTATGTTCAAAAGAAAACAAAACCAATTATTGGCATTGAGAACGGGCTTACTCGCCACTTCCGTGCCGTATTATAAATATGTGCCTCAGAACGTGCTTGAAAGTAGTCAGCACACTCTCTACTGGGATCGCTCCATTATCACTGACAAGTCGGCGGCAATAGACCCCATATAACTTACATTGATAGAAACCATCAGCAGGTTTTCCTTATCGATATATCAAGAGACGATCCAGAAGTATACCGATCTCGCCCATTAAGTCGCAACTCAGTGGAACTTCAGTAAAGTAACAACTGTGCCTATAATAATATCAGCTACAGGAGTGATCCCGAAAATAACACTTCGGGCACTGGAGTGTCTTCACTTGGATGCCAGGAATGTATATAATATGCAAAAGTCAGTAATTTTGAATACTTGCCGTATTGTCAGAAGCCATCTGAACCTTCAGTAAAGCAACCACACACCTGGACATCATTCCTGTGTGTGGTTGACATACCGACCAGTATATACTGTGGATAATGAATGATAATAATAATAATAATAATAATAATAATAATAATAATAATAATGAAGTTGGCCTTTTGTATGATTGTGAAAGTATTTTGTCTTTAAGAAAAATAATTTATTACATTAAAACATTTTATGACCTCTTTTCCCATTGTGGAAGTGCGGCAACGCTACGCGGGAGGGGCGCTATGCTGTTAATGGGACTCACCCCTCGCAGTGCGTGGATGTTCTTGAGAAGACTCGCGCAGGCGCCCATCACCCCCGCCAGCACTAAAACGCAGCCGACTACACCGGTCAGCACCGCCAGGCTCCGGTCGTTCTGATAATTGTCAGCCAGAGCCTGATCGAGGGCCGCGTACTCTTTGTCTGTTAGCATGATGCGCACGATTATTGCCAAACCCAAGATCTGAAATCAAGGAAAATATATACATTCTCGCCCATCTGGGACGAGCCGCGTCTCGGTCAATTGTACTGACGTTTCGGCCATATTGCTGTGGCCTTCTTCAGAGCTATACTGCCTCAAAGAAAATATTCTTTAAAGTTATTTTAAAATTATGAAACACGCTAAACTTATGGATAACCAGCCATTTGGCTCGCGTTTTCTGATAGTTATTTTTCACAATCATTTACTTGATCGAATACTCAATTTATTCTGTTCGTAATGTATTCCAGCTGCCACTTCCCTCCATTCTGCAGACACAATTGAAAAAATAGGATGTTTCCCTCTTAACGTGTACCAGTTGCCAAGAACGAGTCATATTAATGACGGATACTTTTCTCTTTTCCTCTCTTTACTGTAGTATTTTGGATCACCTCAACAACACAAATACGAACTTTGGGTCGTATATAGTAGTTTACGTAACAAGGGCTCGAGTCAGGTGATTCGCGCGCGATTTGAGTTTGTCACCCGGACATCGCGAGGACGACAAAGAGACGAGTGCGGGAATCGCCTGATTCGCCTCTCGTCCGTCTTGAGTGTATTACTTTTTAACACGATGTGCGCGAAACCCAATGCGCCAAGTAAGGGAATAAAAATAAAATATCAAATTACTAGAAATATCTTTCTTGTACAAAAGTAAATGGATTCCAGCTTCTGTCGTAACACTACTTTGCACTGAATTGATCCCTTATTTTACGTGTTGAGACTCAGGCCACGAGGCCTGCTCTTCCGT